GTGCTGGCTCAAGCCCTCCCCCTACTGGATAGCCACAATAATGATATTAATTGGGTACAACAAATAGAATACAGTAAGCCATGGGCAACTATCCAAATTAAGGGGAGATTCTTCAAGGGATTATTAGATACAGGAGCTGATCGTTCTGTCATCTCACGACTATTTTGGCCCCCCCTCTTGGCGAGTCCAACCTGATGCCACAACGATCAATGGGGTCGGAGGGGCACAACAAGCATGGGTATCAGCAGAGGAGCTGCCCTGGCAATTCGCAGATAAGCAAGGGACCATCCGACCCCTAGTAGTTACAGGTTTGAGATACAATTTATGGGGAAGGGATATTTTGAAGGCTTGTGGTGCATCTGTTTATATACCACCCCCGCAGGATTTTTAATTGGGGCCATTGGGCAACAGCAAAAATTTTCTTGTATCAGACCCACTCCTCTAACATGGAGATCTAATGACCCAGTCTGGGTACCCCAATGGCCCCTCCCTGCAGAGAAAGCCCAGGCTTTACGTGATATAGTGCAGCACCAGTTACAGGTGGGGCACATTGAGCCCATGTCCAGCCCCTGGAACAGCCCAGTGTTTGTAATAAAAAAGAAATCAGGGAAATTTCGAATGTTAATAGATCTCAGGGCGGTTAACACCACCCTAGAGCCCATGGGAACCCTACAGCCTGGCCTTCCCTCTCCTAATTTAGTGCCTTCTGGATGGCCTGTGACAGTCATAGACATCCAAGATTGTTTTTTCTCTATCCCATTATCCCCAGAAGATAGAAAGAGATTTGCCTTTACCATATCCACTACCAATAATGCAGGACCAGATTTAAGATATCAGTGGAAGGTCCTGCCCCAAGGGATGTGCTGCAGTCCCACTTTATGTCAGGCTTATGTGGGAAGAGTGCTGGACCCTATCAGGGACAAATGGCCTAAAGCCACAATACTTCATTATATGGATGATATTTTATTAGCCACTAGCAGTGATGAGACACTAGCAAGATTAGTAAAAGAAACCATCTCTGCACTTGCTCATTATGGTTTGGTGGTGGCCCCTGACAAAGTCCAACAAAAGTACCCACTCACATACCTAGGCCTTCGTATGGAGGCTGTTTCTATTAGCAATCAAATTCCTGAACTAGGGCTTGATAAGATAACCACTTTGAATCACTCCAAAAGTTAGTGGGACAGATCCAATGGCTCAGGGCCCGCACACCCATTCCTCCTGCTGTAATGCAGCCTTTATATGATATATTAAAAGGAAATTCAGATTTGAACTCCCCTCGGGCATGGACTCCTGCTGCTAAGGCAGCAGTGTCCCAAATATTCTCACTTGCTGCCCAGGCCCAGACCGCTAGATGGGACCCCAAAGGTAGAATAGAGGTCTCCTGGTCAATCAACAGAGCCCTTTTTGTGTTATACACCAAGGTCCCAAATTGTTAGAATTTGTATATGCAAAGAAGGCTCACAAGGTACTGCCAAATTATTATGAGATGTTAGGGGAACTAGCCTTAGCTGCAGTACAAAGGGCTGTCCACTTGTCTGGGCAGCGACCTTTACTTTACTCGATTTTTGAACCTGGACAGCGAGAAGCCATTATGCAAACCTATTGGTCTTGGGCATGCTGCTCCCAATGGGCCGAGATAAGTCCTCATTCCTCCTGCCTGCTTCTCCCTATGCTAGAGCAAATAACCTTAGTACCACCCCAACGAAAGGTTATGGGGGAACCTGTTCAAGGCTCAAATGTTTTCACTGATGCTACAAAAAACAATAAGGCCTCTATTTATCATGAGACCTCCAAGGAAATAACAGTATTAGAAACCCTCTATGACTCTACCCAGAAAAATGAGCTCTTTGCCATCCTCCATGCTTGCCGTAAATATCCTGAGCCTATAAACATAATCTCTGATAGTCTATATGCAGTAAAGGTTCTTAGATGCATAGAGGACGCCGTCCTCCAACCTCATAAGTCCACCATATCCTCTCTCCTGAGGGAATTACAGCAAATTTTGTTGCAGCGAAACAACCCCCTCTACATTCTCCATGTTTATTCTCATCAGTCCACCTCAGGAGGCATTTTTGAAGGCAATGATGTAGCGGATCGTGCCTTACAGTGCTCTCTACTGCCAGTCCTCACCCCTCTTGAACAAGCCCATGATTTTTTACACCTACCAGCCAGCTCCCTGAGACGCCTGTATGGTTTAACTCGTGAACAGGCTCAACAAATTGTGAGGCGATGTGTGCGCTGTGTTCCTTTTCTCCCCCCTCCACCCAGTAAAGGGATTAACCCACGAGGTCTTTTTCCCAATGACTTGTGGCAAATGGATGTCACTCATCTTGGCCGTGTCACTATCTATGTCTGCATTGATACTTTTTCCAAATTTATAATGGCCACTGTATCCAGTAAGGAGAACACCCCATCAGTTATTAAGCATCTGTACCATTGTTTTGCCTCTGTGGGGATCCCTCATGTCATTAAAACTGACAACGGGCCTGCCTATTTATCTACACAAATGACTGCCTTTTTTACATCCTTTGGCATTAAGCATGTTACAGGAATCCTCTATAACCCCACAGGTCAGGCTATTGTTGAGCGAGCCCATCGTACCTTGAAAGCTACCCTCAGTAAACAAAAAGGGGGAGTAGGAGGTCGGGGCTCAGGGCAGTGGCCTACCCAAGCAGATGTGGATAAAGCTTTATATACATACAATATTCTCTGTCTAGATAGAGACACGGGCCTATCCCCTAGCATGCTACAGCTAATAACACCACCCACTTGTAATTCAACTGGCCCCTTAAAAACAGCACTACATGTACCATCCCTTAACCAGAAAGTCCTCTGGAAGGACGATGAGGGAAACTGGCAAGGCCCATCTGTAGTGTTGTGGAGAGGGCCGGGGTATTTATGTCTTACAGATTCTGATGGCCAGAGCCGCTGGGTACCAGAAAGAAGAACAAAACGAGTTGAAGAAGCCCCGGGAGACACAACAAGGATAGGAGAAGAAACACAGTCAACAGAAAATTCAGAGAGAGCAGAAAGAAAAGACAGTTAGGATGTCTAAACTGAGTAAACTGTTTTCACTTTTTGCGCGATCAGGACTTTGCCACAGGTTGCCTCAGCTCCAGTGTCCTGGGACACAAGAGAGAATGTCTGGGGGCACTGGCGTTGGCAGCATCCATCTTCGAGGAGTTCCAGATACAGGACTTATATAGTGGACAGCAATTGCTTGCCTCAAAAATAGAGGAACTGGCCAATAAATTCGCCCAAGCCCTCCAAGTGCAGGCTGATATTGATCAGCAGCTGGAGGAGCAGATTCAAAAAAGTAGCATTGGCTACTCAGGACATTGGGAATGAACTTATGTGGCTGGAATTGAGACAGCAGTTGCCATGCGATGGCTGATATTGATCCATTTGTGTAACACCCTTAAACCATAACGCCACTTGCGACACCGTTTCACAAAGCATAAATGACACTCTCTTTTCTTTTCTATTTTATGTAATGATACCCGTGCCCTTTCCCAGATCCAGGCTACAAATCTTTCCTCTGTACTCCAGGCTTTATGGATGTTAATTAGACTGGTGCAGAACATATCTGACACTTGGCACCAACACGAGACTGATGATATTGTTCATCACCTTAGCGATTGGATTAAGCATACGTCTTTCCCCATCCCCTGCTTTGTAACCCATTGGGCATTTATAACTCTTTTTGCATTTATACTGTTATTGTTACTACCCACTATATTAGGAGGTTTTCTTAGGATTCTTAGAAGTTCTATAGAGGCACTCAGAACCAAAGGCCTAGTATGGAGACCCCGTCTCCGCCCCTCTATTAAACAAAAAGGGGGAATTGTGAGGGACTGTCTGATGTTGGCAGTTGCTAGTTGGGCGCTGTGGCAAGGGTAGAATCTGGGTATTTTGGAAGTCGAGGCAGGGACTGTGGTAGGCGGAGTCATGGTGAACTGGGATGGGCTGGGTACGGCGCGCAGCCGGCAGGTCGGCGCGGCCAGTACATTAAGTGACTTGCCCAAGGTCACACAGCTAGCATGTGTCAAGTGTTTGGTCTGAGGCTGGATTTGAACTCAGGTCCTCTTGACTTCGGGGCTGGTGCTCTATCCACTGCGCCACCTAGCTGCCCCTGCCTACAATCCTAAATGACATCCATTGCAATAAGTCCTCATCTGCAATGCAATTGGACTAAACTCTAAGGTATCTTCCAATGCTGATGTGACATTCTCTTCAATGAAACCAACTGTAAGTTCCATGGGAGAGCTTGGGGGAAGAAGGAGGAATAGTGGAAGTACTAGGAGATGAAAATATAAAATGTACCTTCTTTCCAGTATCACATGGTTAGTGAAATTAAGGGTTCAGCATCAGAAAAAAAAAAAGGGTTCAACTGAAGTTCAAAAGCCACTCCTAATGCCACGGCCTCCCAGGTTTTGAAGTTTAATAAACATCCTACTTTTTTTCAGATACTTCCTCCGTGCTAGAGATGTAGCAACTTCCCAAACCAAATTTAGCCCTGCATCTGCAAGCCTTTTCTCTAGCATCCCTAACCCACTAGCAGTCCCACATTTGGCTGGCTTTCTTCTGAACCCTACAGGGTGACAAGGCAGCGGTTTTTGACGTGCCCTTACGGCTATCGACGGCGGCAGAAAGTAACATCACACCTGTTTGGTTCCTAACTGACAGTAATGCAAGCAGCACATGAGAAGCAAAGTAAATAGCAGGTCAGCAAGTTGTGGCCTTCAACAGAGTCCAAAGAGCACTATATAATAGGCTCCTCAGCACAAATGGAATGGCAGACATTCTGCTCTCAACCTCATCAAAAGGAATTCAGACGCTGGAAGTCAATGAAGTTATAGTGTAGTATTCTGTTCCATAACTATCTGCTGATGCTAAGGCTAGTGAGACCGCTTTGGACTATCATTTCCTTAAAGCATAACATACAATTATTTGCAAGGACCAGAATACTGGAATGCAAGCAAGACAATCAGCACACATTTCAAGGAGTAAGACTATTTAAAACACTTTATTTATCACACAGCTGAAATTCCAGTTCCCCTAAATCCGCACATTTGTCAACATTTGGCAAAATCGGATCCTAGTCCTTACAGGTCAATAGGAAGAAAGACAAAAGTCAATCTTGCACCAAGTAAGTTATAGCTGGTTTGAGTCCTGATGTCCAGATCCCACACAGAACAGTTCTGGGTAGATGAAGAAAGGCCACTCCATTCCATAGCTGAAGGGTTATTTGTTTATGACACTGACTCCCTGATGTGGCATCAGATATGATAATAAATATGAATGTGCTATCGAAAGACAGAAGTGAGCTTAGGTCCCTCACTGAGGTGAAAGTGTTTTCTTGGTTACTGTAGGGTCAGTTCTTACACCCACCCACACACACACACACACATACAAACACCCACCCACACCCACCCCTAGAGCTGGTACAAAGCAGTACACTATATTCACATGTGCAGTTCTTTCTCTCACACACACACACACACACACACACACACACACACACACACACACACACACACACACACACACACACACACACACACACACACCCCAGGAGCTGGTATATAAGAGTACATTATTCTAACACCTACAAATTCACCATTATGGAAAAAGGACACAGCTCTAATGCTAATTCACTAATGGCCAAATCCCAATAACAATGATCTGAAAGAGTGAGGCTGAGTTTGATTCAAAAATATGAAGGTTCAAAAGGTTTCAGATATCCAGCTGGATTGGAAGCTAGTTACTGTAAGGAGTTCTTACAACACTTGGCTATCTTTTCCAATAACTACATACTGAACAAATGTGGCTGCTCACAGAACAAGTAGCTAGTTATCGATAAACTTAGGAGGCAGATCTGTGGTCTGGTGATACATCACAGAAGCTTAATACTAAAGGATAACTACGTTCAAGGGTATTATGATCCAAGCTGACAGGGAGGTTGGGTTCAGGTCCCAAATACAGTGTGATCAGGTTACCAAATGCTAATACGAAGAGAGTAACTTCCAGTGTATCTCTCCTTTCTGCCAGCATTAATTAGATGGAAGTTCCCTACACCTCCAGTTTAAGTCCCACTGAAGAATCAGACAGCCCAACACAAATTAATCTGGCTGATTATATCTCAGTCCTTTGGTTCATAGCAGCATATATACCCAAATTTCTGTGTGTCCACCAGGCCAACCCCATCTAGTATCCTAACACAGAGTGTAGGCAGAACCAGAGAGGCATGAGACAAGGCAGGGCTTGAAGGGTTGTTGAAGTGAATGCTGGAGTCAGTTTTTGGAATGGAATAACCCCCACAAGTCCCAGTGATTTTGCCTTAGGCATCATGAAGATTTTTTTCACTCAAGAGGATTTTCTCCCCAGGTTTAAAGGCTGGCATCCCAAGGTAGGGGCAGCTGGCACAGCGGAAGGCATCACCCAAATAACACTGTTGAGAGAAAAAGAAGTAGGAGTTGAAGGTGTCTACTAATTAAAGAAACATAAACTCAAAGACCAAGAGAAGTAATCCCTGATCTTGTTGCTTTTTCCCCACCAAGTGGTCCTGAAGTAACATGGCTAGCTAAAATTTCATGCTCGGTAGGACTACAAATACTAAAACTTCATAGTCTCCTGTGGTTAAGTCAGGAACATCCAATGCCATGGCAAACAATGAGTTCAGGACCTGAAAGTTTTTAGAATGTCAAGGCAGATTCAAAGTTAAGGATTCAAATAAGAAAATGAAAATAAGCAACAAAATACACATGTGAAATACTAAGTCTACATGTAAAAATTAAAAGAAAAAGGGTAGAGGCAGGAGAAATTCCTACCATAAAACAGCAAAAGGTCTCTGAGAATGCTTAATGCCCTTAAGAGGTAGGTGTTAGACCTCCAATATAGGTCTACTTCACTTTGTCTTACTTGTAATCATTTGGATCATAAGCTATTTATAGGTAGAAATAGTATATGTGCAATTTTAGGATAAAGCCTAAATATAACCTAGGTACTTTCTGAATTTTGAAAATCTACCAAAATATTTACATTTCCACAAGCTGACTTGGGTTGGGATCTCTTCTGCTCCTTTGATTTCTCCTGCTCCAGTTCTTCTGCTAGGCCACACGTGCTAAATAAAGAGACAATGTACTGTAAGAACTAGAAACCCACAAATCCTGAAACATGCCTTCTACCGGTTTATAGTGAGTACAAGGACCCTGTCTTTTCACCAGCCTTCCAGCCATTCTTTACCTAGGGCTATTACCAACGGAACGACTTTCTCTGTGATGTTCTAGGTAATACCAGAGAAGTGAGACATAACAAATGGAACCAATTAAGGTGGACTTAAAGCCCAACATGTTGTTTCCCTCCACCCATATCACATGGAGGTACTTTTAAGAGGTAAGTTCTTCTCTGTTTTATTAGACATTCCTTGAAAGAAAGTAATGAACCTTCTCTAACACTCACCAATTTTTACAGGCCTTCCTTTTTGTCCCTTCTCCACATGAAGTAGCCCGTAGGGAAGCTGGATCTGGCTTCTTCAAATCTTCTGGATCCAAGAGTTCATCAGAATCAATGAGATCCTGGAAGGTGTTCAGATTAGTCTAATGACTGACTAAGAAGCTACCTCAGTTAAGAAGCTCTCATTTAGTCATACTAAAGGAGGGAAATAGTAGCATAGCTAATACAAAAATTATTTATATTTATCATTTTCACATATAATTTAAGGTATTTAGAGGTGGGGGGTAGTAAGTTTACCTTCCTACTTATATTAAGTTCAGTTTAACATTAAAATTATTATGTACTTCCTGATAACAAGGGAAGGATGCCCAGAAGGATGTCACAAAGTGGCTGATCATGAATTGCCCGAAAATAACAAAGAGTACTTTATAAAGCCGAGCACATAGCATGGACTAGATACAATATAATTTTCATCTTGTGGATGGTGGGGAAGGGGGCTAGCAAGTGAATGATGAGAAAAGGATAAGAAAAATCAAATGGCCAGAGAAGAGTTAAGACTTAAGAATTTCTCTAGGTGTGCAATGTCATATCCACAGCCAGATGTAGATAATGTCAGCTGTTTTGTTACAAAGTGGGTGTTCAATGAGGATGAAGGGATAAAAAGTAACTTTTCCCCCACAATTCAGACATTTTCCCCTTGAAAAATAAGTCCAAATGATTTTTTTTTCAAGTGACAAAAAGCCTATAAGTGAAAACATTCATTTGATTTTGGGTCTATTATACCAAATAACAGGAAGAAAATCTTTTAAGTTAAGTAGAAACTAAGTGAAAATGACAGTAACTTCACTGCTGAAACTCTACCCAAAAGCATGACAAACATGACCAGCAGGCATGGTTCTAATATATGACTGTTCACACCCAGCATGGAGGCCCTGAAAAGTTTGCTGGAGGTAAATCAAACTACCACTTGGTTCAGCGTTGGGCCCCACTCACCATGCCATCATCATTCATGTCATTGGCTGAAAGTGTCCACAGCTTAACAGCATTAGGATCCACGGCAGGTTTCTCTAAAATCAGCCAACAAAAGAAACATTAAGAGAAGCCAGATACAGGTTATGTGACACTAAAAAGTTCTTTCTTCATAGAGATACAATAACTATAGACACCAACTACCTTGGCATCATACCATTCAATGTTAGTGAGGGAAGCTTCATCCCCTTTTTACAAATGGAAAAACATGGACCAATAAGCCCCCAAGATTTGCACCCAAAATAAAGCATGCATGACAAGTTAATGGCAAAGCTGGAAACAGATCTCAGGGCTTTTGATTCAGAATCTATCAGAGGATACTGCCTTTGGGCAGGCCACAAAATTAACAATCAGGAGTTAATCAGGAGTTGCTGAGTGAAATAAGCTCATTCTGGGGCAAATTTTCAAACAGGTTGGTTCAGACACACCCTCAAATCAGCCCAAGCACAACTGCATGATCAAATCCTTCAAACAGGGCAGCTTGTTTGTTTACACTGCTCCTGCTCATTTTGTGACCTTGAACACAAAGGTTTCCAAAGGATTACTAGAAGATCTTGTGGAAATCAGAATAATAAGTGAAGACACCATCAAGCATCTGAAAACCTACCTGCATATTTCAATTTAGCCAGTTTTCTTTGTTAAAATTGTAAGAATAGTAATGAGGGGAGAGGGCAAGATAAGGAAACATTTTCTGAATACAACTGGGCAAATTAATATAATCTTACAAGTGACATAATCTTTAGGGAAATCTCATGCAGGGAAAACTAACTCTCTTAGCCTATGTAAAGAACACAACGAAACTGAATGAACATACTATACTAGTAGATTATCAAGCCTCTTTTCAATAAAAAATGAAACCTTTCTAAGTGTTAGAAAGGTTAATTTACTGGAAGGAGTACCTCTCCATTCAGACTCCTAGTTTAGTCTTTAACATACTCCGCTTGGCCCAGAATGGAATTAAAAGGTAATAGATTGGTATAATCATGGGTTACCCTTACCTGACACAGCAGACTTCTTGGGAAAGGAAAGTTTAAGCTGGGTAGAAGAGCCTACTTCAAAGTTTGGTTTTTTGCCTGTGATTTGAATAGAGACCAAGCTGTCACTTTGGTAACCCAGGTGCTCCTGTACTGACTGGACCTCCTCTGGGGTTAAGGAGTCCTTCTGCAACTGAAATTCAAGGCACAAAAAAGGTTCAGTCTATGTTGAAAACAAAATCCACTCATGCTATAATGTTACAGTATAATCTTTTAGCATACCTAAGGTCCAAAGAATAGAATATACAGATATTAACTATGTAACCTCTACAAAGAGGATCTAGTTATGCTTCATATTTAATTTCTCTCTGATCAGGGTCATGACTAGAATTCAACTTTTCTCTCTGTTTATGCCCATCTTTACAAAATTTAGAGTGCTTTGCAAATATTACCTCTTTTCTTACTATTTCTTCTTCCCACATAGGCAGAAAACAGCATTACCATTTTAAAGGGGAAAAAAAAGGCAGGCACAAAAAACCCCAACAACAACAACAAACCTCAAACTATCATAGAATAAATCAGTGACCTAGTCAGAAATCAAGGTCAGGCCTACATGCAGTTTTTAAAGGTACAGGGCTAATCACGTTATCCCAAAGAAAAATCTAACAAAAAGGAATAAGAAACATCACTTTTAAACAATAGACATTCTGGTGATACACTTCAGGGACTTTTTGTTACTGGGGCAGAAACAGTACAGAGGCATAAGGATGAGTTTGAAGACAAAGATTCCTTCTATACCATGTTTCCGTAAAGTGAGTTGCAGCTCCTTTGTAAACATACCTCCTTCACTTCCACAAGCCCAGAGAGTGTCAGAGTTGAGCATAACTTAGCTGCTGTCTTCACTTTGCTTTCATTAACTATCAAAAAGAAAAAGAATAATAACAATAGATTTGTAGGAAGATCATTAAAAGCCCTATACAGAATGGGACAAAAATTAAAATAGTACTTTATGTCAGTCAAATGCTTTTAAATTTTCAAAGTGCTTTCAGAATTCATCTCAAGGTCCACGGTTCCACACCATCTCAAGATTAGCAGCAGATACCTTAAGCTCATCTTGTAAACCCTGGCTTAGTGCTTCAAGTGAAGATTAAAGGAACAGGGACACAGTTTCTTTACCTGAAGTTGTCTCCACTGGCTCTTTCAAAAGGACTTGCCCACCTGGTCGAAGGATCCTAGCAATTTCTGCCAAAATCTCAGTGCTATGCAGTGTTGTACTTCCTGGAACCAGACCTGACAGAACAACATCAAAGCTGGATTCTTTGTGAGCAGCTGAGAAGACAAAATGAAGACCATAACAAGCATCACTCAGAATGCTTGAGCCCCAGCAGGAGCACCCTCCTCCGCATGCCAGGAGTAGAAATACCACAGACCCCAGATGGGAGAAGAGATGTTTATCTTCCCCAGTTTAATGGTGGTTCAATGGGCCTTACAGGTGCTACCACCCTGTTACTTTCTGTAGTTATTACCCTATTCTCCCTTCCAGACATGCTATTATTCTCCCCAATGCACCTAGATCCACCTCTACGCTAAGGGACAGGTATAAATTAGAAACAGTACAGTTAAGTGAGCTTTTTCCCTCTTCTATTACAGAGTCAGTTGTAAGGTAAAGATGTACTTTTATGACTGCACATACTCTTCTGTCTATCATCTCTCAACAGAAAAAGAACAGGACCATCCAACAGCACATCAGTTTTTTTTGTCAGCCAGAGCAAAAATCCAGAGATCAAGATAAGAGAGAAGGTACACACTACTGGATAGCTAGATAGAGCAAATAAGAGTGCTGGGCCTGAAGTCAGTAAGACTCATCTTCCAGAGTTCACATACCGACTCAGATACGTGCTAGCTGCGTGACCCTGGGCAAGTCACTTAACCCTGTTTACTTCAGTTTCCTCATCTGAAAAATGAGCTGGAGAAGGAAATGGCAAACCTCTCCAGTATCTTTGCCAAGAAAACCCCAAATGGGGTCAGAAAGCTCACCCATCCAATCACACCCTTCTGCCCCTCTAAAGAAGAGCTAAAGGCGAGTTCTTACATTGTAACAGTTGGTTGATGTTTTCCACAAATACATGACTCTCATCACCAGCAAGTTCCTGCAGTTTATCCACCAGACTTTTCAAAGCTTCCACTGGAGATGACCTATCCCAGATCACCACCACACGCTGCCCGGTTGAGATTCCATACTCTGCCATTGCTGCAATGTCACCAGTCTGAAAACTAATGGCCAAAGGATGACTCAATGCTGAGCAAATGTACAAAGAGCCTGGACCCAGTTTAACCCAAGAAGTATAATAAACATAAATTAGCATTTTGGCACAGTCTAGACCAGCCACCCAGGGATGCTGACGTTAGGAAAACATACTGCTGATGAGAGGGCCTAAATAAATAATCCTATTATTTCAAATTTCCATAATCCCAAATTCCTAAACTAGGCACTAACTTCTTTAGGAAAATCCCTGGCCTTCTTGGAAGATGAAAAGCCAAAAAAAAAAAAATACAATTAGATTGATATGAAGAGGTAAAGGCAGAAGATTAATTCCCTTTTGGATCAGATCATAACCTTGCCAAAGCACAGAATATAAAACACAAATGTTACTGTATATTGAGTAGAAGTCATCACTGACTCAGCAAGGAGGGGAAACTGGCAGACTTCCCTTGACCATGAATTTAATTTTTTAAGGTCAAATGTTTAGTAAAATAGTATTTCCCCTTTCACCAAAATAAATGCCAAAAATTCAGTTTTATCTAGTTTTGTAGGGTTAAAAAAGTTATTTTGCATAAAAGTCAAACTTCTACTGTCCCTTGAGATTTTGTGCGAGTATAGAGAAAACGTATTAAAAAAGAATGAGGTTGGGGACGTTCACCCAGCTATTCCAGTGTTCTCTTTCTTTTTCAAATATTAATGCCACCGAACTTCTGAAAGCCAGGGCCTAAAAATAAGAAGTAGAGATAAAGTTCAAGAGGATTTAGGTAGTCCACTAAGAAACACATGGGGAAGAAAAGGGGCAAAATCTAGCACTGTACCCTTCTGGTTGGTTCTGTATAAAGAGCACTGAATTTGGGAGTAACAAGATCTGAATTTGAATCCTAGCTCTGTTACTCTTTGTATCATCCTGGGCAAATCACAAACTCTTTGGGCCTCAGCTTCCTCATCTGTAAAACAAGGAAATCAGACTAGATAAACTCTCAGGTCCTCCTGGTCCTGTTCCAGACTTTATGGACTTCAAAATCTTGCCTCTATTACCATCTCATTGAAGAACTCTCAGCACCTGAGGCTTCCTTAGCCTGGAACACGCAACCACATTTGCTGGCTGCTCACCCTGGAATATCTTTTTGCAAGACCTGCCCCGCTTTTATTGGTGAGTTCTTCCTGAAGCCTTCATTTTGTGAAGCAGCTCAGGCCAAGTAAGCTCCATGAGGGCAGGAACTGTCTTTTCTTTTGCCTGAATTTGTATACTCAGGGCTTAGCACAGTGCCTGGCACAGTAAGTGCTTAATAAACATTTGCTTCCTGGATTTCTTCCTTCCATTGAGTTCTAGATCTATGATCCTATGATTCTGGTCAAGGACGCATGAAGAAGAAAACATTCTTTCCTCTATAATCTCTCAAAACACTTAACCCTCTAAACTTTCTGTGCCTTCTGGAAAGAAGGTAGCCATTAGCCTTTTTTCTTCCAAGTAATAAACACCTATACTGGAATGGTAGACTGACATTTAAAATACATTTGAAAAATTCACTTCAGCTGAAGGTGTCATCATCAGGAAATAAGTAATGACTTAACTTTTTTTTAGCTATTCTTTGGAATATAATTCAGGAATTAATAATAATCTAAAATCTCTTTATGTGATAACTATCTATTCTCCTAGTCAACCAGGCTGTCGGCCATATCAAATTCTATATATCTCCCACCATTACCTAGGATTCGACATACTAAGCACATAGTGGGAGCTGTATAAATACTAAATACTAACAGACTGACAAGAGTTCATAATCTTGGTCAAATGGATAGGTTAGTGAATTACTACTCTACTAGAAATAGTAAGGTGATGACTTGCTTGGGAATGAGAAAAGAAGAGTCAAGCTGGTCAGAACAAGGTACTAGGATAGGTAATGGGTTTGACCTACATAAGGGCCAGGTATTATTAAAAACAATGGCAATTCATTTGTAGCATATTTTACAAGTTAAAAAAGTTTCTCACAACAATCCTCTGAAGAAAACCATACAAGTGAGGAGAAAAAAGCTCAAAGAAGGTAAGAAGTTTCCCATTAGATAGCTAATAAGTAACAGGGCTTGAACCCAGGTCTTCTGACATCAGGTCTTATATAGCTCTTTTCATTGAGCAACACTGTCTCCCTTCACAAATATACTGCTAACCCTAGCTAGTTTCCTTACTTACAGATGTTGTTGGCCACAAGAGTCATGGACTTCTTTGGCAGTCTAATGAAGCCTATGGACCCCTTCTCAAAACATTTTAAATGTGTAACACTTAAGATTATAAAAAAAATCAATTATATCCAAATATAGTTATCAAAATATTAAAAACAAAAAAGCCAAGTTCACATGCCCCAAGTTAAGAACCTCTGGGTTGGGAGTGGAGAGGACAAAATAAGTGTATGGATTAATCAGCACAAAATGACCACTACTGGAAATACACCTCAAATTCATCTACTCTCCTGATAGTCGGTTAGAAACAGCATGGTTGAAAAGCTATCTGGGTTCCTATACCAGTACCATCTGCCAGCTCTGTGAATCAGTTTGACGGAATGGGTAGTGCCCTAGACTTGGAATTAGGAATACCTGTATTCAAATTCTGCCACTTACTAGCTATGTGATCCTGGCCAAGTCACTTTACTTCTCTTGGGGTTGGACATAATGGTCCCTTTAAGGTCCCTTCCTGGTCTAAATATATAACCCTATGATCCCTAGTCACTAAACTTCTCCAAGCCTGTTTCTTCATCTACAAAATGGGGATAGAAGTACTTACACTACCATCCCACAGGACTGTGAGGATTTTGCAAAGCACTAAACGAATAGGAGGTATTAATATAGTAGGAACTCTCCCCAAAGAACCTATATACCCACAGTTTTAAAACTCCCCACTCACTAAAGCATATGTGACAAAAGGATATTCTTGGCCATTAATCTAATTTTTTTTTAATTCCTAAAACAGCACATTCAAGAACTGTAATTTTAAGCCACATGTTCCTGACCAAGAATAAATAGAATTTATTAACAAAGGAATTTGGCTGCTAATAAGATTCAGAATCATTGTTTCATACATAAAAGCCAATCAATCAAGAGCTTAGAAACACTGGATTGCTATGTGGAAATGAAAAGAGTGTTAAGGGCAAAGTAGTAAATTGCTAGAAATAAATACTGATTTCTTCAGGGATACTAGAAATGCTTCTTTGCTTTCAGGGACAATGGGAAAAGCTGTTCAGTAAAACAGGAAACAGACTTTTTTTTCTCCTAGTTAAAAAATGCCCTTTGACTGATAACATACAGAGTATTTTTATTGACTACATCCTAATACAATTTTCATAAAAGAAACCAGGAGATTTAGGAAGTTTGCTCAATTCTGTTTTATATACTGTATCTTAATTTTTAGGTAGAGACAAAATGTCAGGTCTTTCTCAGCATGGCATCACAGAAGCAGAAAATTCTAAGAGTACCATTGCTCATCCTCCTCAGTTCAGTTTACTTGCCTCTACTTCAAAGAGGCACATAAAATCTTTGTTCTTAATATCCAGCTTTGCCTAGTGGGAGGCCTCCCTAGGGAGGAGAATGGAGCTGGCTTTGAAACTTTCTTTCCCACTGCTAGGATCAGAGAGCATTAGATCTGCACTTCATGATATCTCAGTGTTCCAATGGGAACAGGTCACTAATTTGGAAGATATTAAAAATGCTTTGTATTTCTATCTCCCAAATTAATATCTAATAGCAAGAAGATGGCAATAAAATACTTGGTAAATATCAACCCTAGAAAAGAAGGGCACAGGCTCAGCTTTCTTGGTAACAGAGGAGACACTGCAAGAAGTGTTTAAAAAGTTCAAATATGAAATCATGATAACTTCAATCAAAATGTTTTGAGTTTGGTGAATCAGTCCAAAAAAACACAAAAAAACCCACTCCAGCAATAGTGGAAAAAAACAAGTAACTAAATAAGCTTTCTTAGGAAGTTTGACTCCAGCTAGCTTAGTAATTATAAAAGGTGAAGTAGAAATTCAAAGTTACAGTTATGTTACTGACCTTGAATGTTAAGATACCTCTCTTCCAACTCTATCTAAATCACTTCTACAAGGTGTCATCCCAAGACATGTGTTCCCTGGTATACGTTTACTTTTTTGTGAACAACAAAACTTAAACCATTAGGCCCCTCTTGTCAGTGACAGTATCAAGAAACAAAGGTAAAAGCTGAAGGTTTTCAATTTCAACCTAAGGCCTAATTCTGTAAAACAAGTTAATGAAAAATCCTGAAGATGACGGCAGTTACACTTCAGAAGCAAGATTTTTTAAAATGGGACATGACAGAAATAAGTAGTTAGAGAAAGGGGATCAACAGGGAAAGAGAAAACTCAGAAGAATGAAGATCAAAATCTCTACTTTCAGAGGTAATTAAGCAAATTCAGGACTAGCTTGATGATGTGAGTAACAAGTTTCGATAATAATATCCATATGGTATAGTTTCCATCTAGTCTTCTCATGTGACAGTGAGGATAGAATTTGAGCTCTCTAACTTCAAAGATCAGTACTGACTGTGATGACGCCTGATCTTCACGAGACAAATAATTCAAGAATACTGTTCTCTCAGATTGCTATTTTTTTCTGGTCTGACAATGGGAAGATTTGTTATTGCTTAAATATCATACAACTCTTGGCACTAAATAACCAAAAAGCATAGAACAATTGTTTCACTGAGATCTAGAGGGCAGAGGGGAAGAGGTTCTAGTTTTCCTAGAGGAAATTACCCTTAGGCATAAACAAACTCATCACATGTAAAGTCAAGTTCTGTGAGCAGATGTGTCCACAATTCAAACACGACATTAATTCACTTTTTGTAGGTGGTGAAGGAGTAAGCTGCTGGGCCTCAAAAGATGCTCAGCAGATTGTCTTTATCCCTAGGCAGTGGTGAATATGTTTCGTTTTTGTTTTTTGGTTAGGTAATGGGGGTTAAGTGACTTGCCCAGGGTCACATTGGTAGTAAATGTTATGAGTCTGAGGCCGGATTAGCCTGTGGTGAACATGGAACTCAGCTCTGACCAACCTCCATGTTTAACTTACAGTACTCAGATTTAATACTAGGTGTGTAAAGTTGGATGCTATTAGGTCACTGACACACCATGATGTAAGTGTCTGGGAAAGAGAAACTCCTTCGCTCTATAAATAAAGCCCTTTACAATATGACTCCAACCCGTCTTTCCTGATAACACATCACTTGTCTCCTCAACTAGATATCCCAGCCAAACTGGCCTACTTACTGCTCCCCCCACACAGAACAATCCCACCTCCCAGCCTTTGTACAGGCTCGGAATGCTCTCCCTCCAGCCCTCACCCCAGACTCATTGAGTCCCTGGCTTCCTTCAAGGCTCGGCTCAGGTGCCACCACCCTCGGGAGGCCCCTCTTGATCCCTCCAATGGTTAGGGGGGGCTTCCCCCCCCAGCCCAACCTAGCTCCCTGGGCATTGGGGTGATTCATACACTTATGGGGCTGGGGTGGACCTCGGAGGATGCAAGAATCCAACCTCCTCCTTTTACAGGTAAGGGCACTGAGGCCCACAGGAGTCAAATGACTTCTCTAAGGTCATGCAAGATCAGAAACCAGGGAAGGAAGGACAGAAGAAGGGGGAGGGGAGGCCAAGGGAGGAAGAAGAGGAGGCGAGGAGGGAAAGAGGGGAGGAGGAGACGAGATGAGGGGAGGGGAAGAGGAAGGGGGAGGAGGAAAAGAGGGATGCGAAAGAGGAAGGGGGAGCAGGCCGGGGAAGACAAGGGGGGAGGAGCAAGGAGAGGGGAAGAGAAAGGAGGAGGGAAATGAAAAAGGGGAGGGGGAGAGAGGGGGGGAAAGAAGGGAGAAGGGAAGATGAAGACACTGGCATGGGGAGAGGAAACGATAGGAGATACCAGAGTTTTTCCAGAAGGAACTGGGGTTCCAAAGTGTGGTAACGCAATTGGCTAAGAGGAAGCGGACAGAGGCACGGCCAACGCTCACCCAAGGCGCCCGCACACTCGGCAGCCACCACCAGCACCCGCTCTTCAGCAGCCGGCTCAGCGCCTCCGCACTCTCGCGAGAAGACCGATGACTGACTTCGCGGGGACTCAGAGGAGACTCAAAGATGGGGGGGAAGAGACGGGGAGGGGCGGGGCGGGGAGGGAAGGGAGGAGAGTGGAGGGAAGAGGGAAACGGAGCCCGCGTGCGCACACGCGCTTCGACGTCGGAGGAGAGGCAGGATCCCTCCGCCTTTGGGCGCCCCCCCCCCCCCCCCCCCCCCCGTCCTCCACTCCCCCCACCCCATCCCCTCACGCGCGCGCGCACACACTCACGCATCGCGTGGTGTCACGTGGAGACTTCCCGGGGGTCCGTGCCCACTTCCAAGATGGCGGCGGCGGTGGCTGGGTTCCTCCGTCGGACCGGATGGAGGTTCTTGCGGCTGCAGTGCCGGCCCGGTGAGGGGGCGGCCGGGCGGGGCCGGGACCCCCGGGGCCTGGGAGGGACGCGGGGGCGGGGACAGGAGGGGACCCGTGTGACTGTGGCTGAGGGGGACCAGGCTCTGGGCTGCTGGCAAGGTGAAATGAAGGGCACTGTAGGGTCCGGGCCAGACTGGACCCCCGGGGGGCCTTGCCATGCTTCTTGGCTGTCTTCCAACGGGTCTGAGCCTGAATTCCTCGGGCTTGACTAACGGGCCAACGCCGGGTCTTGACCCCCAACCCTGATTTTAGCTCTGACTATTGTGTGCTGTGTCCCAAACATGGACTTCACCTCTGACTTGAACATTTCTTTGGACTGAGACCTCTGACATCTGTTCCGCCCGGGACCAAGAGCTGGTCCCCATCTCCTGACCAATCACCCCGACTTCCAGTTCCAGATCCGACCTAAATCCTGACCCTGACCTGACTAGAATCCTGACACTGGCCCTTGATTCAGTCAGCTCCACTTGACTAGTGTCTGGAGTGTGCATAGCAGCTGTTTAGGGTCCTCTGCTTGTATTTCGGACAAAGATGCATCAATGTAGGTAATCCTACCAAGGGTGCAAATCACAAACCTTCCACACTCTTGTCCCCGTTCTCCTCCACAGGAGAGCCCACTGAAGGTCTCTCTTTAGCTCCCTTGACCTTGCAAAGATACTATGTTTTGGAACATATGGACTGTCCCTTTGTTATCCAACATTCCCACTACTTGATCACCCCACTTTTAATCCTACTTTTCCTCAACGATAGCTTTTATGAGCTTCAGGTACATAGTTCTTTTATGGTAATATGTTCCAGGCTCTTTACACCCACCATTTATCCCTATTGCCATTTCTCTGGAATTTTAGTTCTTCTAAGACATAAAATACAATATATCCATATATCATCATCAGAAGAATATTCTTATTAAAATACAGCCTTTTTTTTTCCAAGTAGAAGCTTAGGATTTTAAAACCACTTCCTACTCTTCACTTTTGGCCCTATCCATTGTCTTTCCAGGGCAGCTAGGTGGCACAGTGTGTAGAGTGCTGGTCCCAGAATCAGGAAGATTCATTTTCCTACATTCAAATTTGGCCTCAGACACTTACTAGCTGTGTGACCCTGAGCTATGTCACTATGACTTGGAAATGGCTGAACAACAAAATTTCCTTTCCAGGGTCTTTATATTGATGAAAGAAGTCTATGTGCTGACCATTCAACTTGTAAATTAGACAAAGGACATTCTTCATCCACTTGGTTTTTCCTGTGTAGTTTGAACACTTTTACGTGACCCTGGATCTTATTTTAAATACGTTATAGTGTTCCAAAACTTGATGCAATCAGTATAAAGTCATCCACAAATAGGAGACTGTGGAGAACTCCTCTAAAGGGAGTCTTCCTTTTAGACTCTCCTGGATATCCTCATGATGGCAAACAACTTTGGTGAGCATATTCCTCCCCGTTTTATGCCTCACATGATAATAATCAGAGTTGTCAAATAGTTATGTGTTTCAAGGAATGTTATATGATTTTGAGGTATTTGTGAAAGAGCAACTTTCTTATTGATGCCTTTTGTTTTTATATCATATTCATTTCCAAATATTTACCTTCCCCCCGTCAAGCCTTCCTTTGTAACAAAGGTTTTAAAAGGAAAAAAAAAAAACGTTCAGCAAAAATAACCAACATAGCGATATAATATTTACAGCACTCACAGGTTATTCATCAGTCTTCTCCTCCACAATGAAGAGAGAAAGGTTCTTTTTCTGAACTTTTCATGGGTAATGGAAGAGGTAAACAGACGTGGCCATTAACGTTCAGTTTCATTTCATTGTTCTTTCTATTTATGTTGTGGTCATTGTGCACATTTTTTTGGTTATACTTCAGTCTATGTAAGTTCATAAAATAATATTTTGCCCTACCAAAATCACATGTCTTTCTGTAGTCAATAAACAATAAGCAAGTTGTTCTTAAGTTCTCTGCACGTTTTAGTTTTGTGATTAAAGCTGTAGGCTTCTGTAAAATGTTCTTTGTGAAAGCCTTTCAAGTACTTTCAAGGATGCTCTTAGTATGTATGTAGGTTTTTTCATGAAGATTTCATATAGTTAAGAATCTAGGACTATAGGTTGGTCGTTATATTTTTTCAGTCACCCTTTTTTAGATCATGATAAATCACTGCTGTTTTTTCCAAATGTTTCGTATCCTCTCTTTTTCATATATCTTCATAATCTCTGAAATTGTGTTGTCCCTCGCCATGCTCTTTAGTGTATAATTGGCCTGGTTTAGTTGCTCTTCCCATCCTTGTTTTCCTAAATACCATTTCTTCTTCACAAAACACATCTGGGACTTTATGTCCAAATGTGGTTGCTCTGTTGTTACTGGTAGAGAAAATAATGTATTATAAAAGCCTTGAGAGATGTTTTCCATTTTTCATCTGCTCATTGTCCTTCCAGTTATGTCCTTTAAAGCTCCTGGGATGATCTGACTTAACTGGGTCTCTCTCAGCAAGCTTTCTATAAACTTATTTTTTCTTCAATTGTTTCTTCATGCTTTATAAGGCAATAACAGTCATAATTTTCCACTATCCTCCTTTGGAAAGTTTTGCAAATAACTTTTTATTATGAAATGATGTTATCTTTGGCTTATATCTATCTCTCCTTGGCAAGGAGAAAGAGACAGTCTCTAGGTTCTTCTAGACCACTTCTAGTAGTGATGGATTTAGAAGAGTTAAATTTCCTTAGAAAATTGCATTATCTATTCATCTCTGTTCTTTTATTAATTTCCCATTGGGGGGCATTGTTTTTTATTTGTTTTTTAAATTTCATTGTGATTTCATTGGTTTAGGAAATTCCCTGTGAAACAACTACCTTCACTATGTAGGCTGGCAACTCATCTATAACTTATCATTTGAGAGATTTGTCTAGGGCACTTACAGGTTAAGTAAATTACTCATAGTCATACAGCTAGTATGTGTCAGAGGTAGGAATTTAACTTAGGAGTCTCCTGACTCCAAGGATGTCCCTCCATCTATGATGGCATCAATAGCTTGTTTAAATAGGTCATATGTCATCCAGTTGGCTGTCACAGTCACAGCAAAAGTGGAAGGGAGCTGTGTAGGACTGAGAATAATTTCACATTTTTATTTCCTTGTCATGGCCATAGAATTCATCACCAACTGGCCATCCTATTGGTGATAAATCTCTCCACTGTGGTTCCTCAAAAAAAAAGACAGCTACAGGAACTACACAAAGCCTTTCTAAGATGGTAGAGCATAATGGAGCCTTTAAGAACCCAGGGTCACTTTCATGATATGATAAAGGCATCCAAGTAGGACTTTTGCAGAGGAAAAGTTATAGTTGACACATATAATGCTGTAAGGTTTATAAAGTGCTTTCAAATGGAGTCTTACTTGAGTCTCACAACCAGCCCTGTTAAGTAGGGAAGTATAAACATTATCATCCATAGACTTCATAGGAACTAAAGCTGGAAGGGACCTTAAAGATTGCCTAGACTAACCCCATCGTTTTTCAGATTAGGCAAATGAAGCCCAGAAATATTAAGGTCAAATACCTTATCCAAAGTCAACACAATATTAAAAGATCCAGAATTCAAACTCAGATCCCCTGGCCCAAAATCCATGGCTCTTTTCACCAGACTATGTTGCTTACCGTTTTACAGATATAATTCTGAAGCCCAAATTAAGAAAGTAAAGTGTCTGTTAATAGTCGTTTCAATTGTGTCCAACTCATTGTTACCCCCATTTAGAGTTTTCTTGGCAAAGCTTTAGGAGTGGTTTGCTATTTCCTTCTCCAGCTCATTTTACAGATGAGGAAATTGAGTCAAACATGGTTAAGTGACTTGCACAGGATCATGCAGCTAGGTGGGACTTGAACTCAGGAAGATGAGACTTTCTGTCTCCAGGCCCAGCTCTCTATCAGCTACACACAGGTAATAAATGGCAGCTCTAAAATTTAGTCCATGCCTTCTGACTTAAAATCAGGCATTCCTTCCTCTATTCCGCCTCCCCCACTTTTTAAAACATTAATAATATTCTAAACATTAATTAAAACATTAATATTAATAATACTTTGGACTCATTTCTGTTACCATTGCTCTTTTCTCTTTTACATTTTTGAGTGCTCCTCTTCTAGTTTGTCTTTTGCATCATTATACCCTGGTTTATTTAATGGGTTATTTAGGATATGTGGTATTTTGATAGGGGACTCAAGAAGGATCTTAAATTTTATTCATCTGGGAATAATTATTCTTAACCCTCTAATATTTTAAAAAATACACATTTTCACTTGGCATTCAATCTGTTCTAATAATTTTATGATTTAGATCCTTTTTCTGGCAAAAAGTTTCTGGTTTTGTTCTTTCTTTTTTTAATCACTGTTCTGATGTTGAGGCAGGCTAGAATCTGGAAAAGTCAGAATATGGGCAAGCACACTAATAATCAGCTGGATTATAAACTCCTCAAAGGCAGGACTCATGATTTCTCCTTTTTTTATATGCCCCCCCATAATACCTAGCCTGCACATAGCAGATTATTAATGTTGAATGAATGAATGAAATACATTATCTTTAATGTCAGGTTCTCTTTTGTTAATTCAAACAGAACATTAGGACAGAAAAGCTATAATGATTTTCTGGAAAGAAAGTCTATTCTCTAGTCAGTTGTAGCAATATCCCATAATCTTAAATGGTGTTTCTTGTACTCAGAATCTTTTGCAAGAGTTAACTAAAGATTGGCTGAATGAGCAATCCTGTCTGACTAACACTTGTAACTGTTGCCTATCCATTAAACTGTTTATTTTGATAAATACATCTTATTAAGGTTTTAACTGTTCTTTATTCAAATTTCGAACTTGAATTCTTAAATTACTCTTTATTGTTGTTGTTGTTCAGTCGTGTCCAATTCTTCATGGACCCCATTTGGGATATTCTTGGCAAAGATACTGGAGTTTGACATTTTCTTCTCCAGCTCATCTTATAGATGAAGAAACTGAGACAAACAGGGTTAAGTGACTTGCCCAGGGTCACACAGCTAGTTAAGTGTCTGAGGCCAGATTTTAATTCAGGAAGATGAAGTATAATATAATGGAAAAAGCCCTGAACTTGGAATCCAAAGAACTAGATTGAAATCTGGGCTGTGCCACTTATTGTTTGTGTGACTTGGTCAAATGATTTTACGTCTATGGACCTCAGTTTCTTCATGTCACAAAAATTAAGGTTTCATACTAAATAAACTCCGGAGTCCCTTCCAGACTTAACATTCTGTGGTCCTAGGAAGTAAATATCTTAAATAAAAATAAAAGTAAAAATAGGTTGCCACAGAGCATTTTTTTTCTTTAGAGTACATGAATCAATGATCTCATTTGATTCTCACCCCTGTGAGGTAGAGAAGTCACTAACATCCCCGTTTTACAGATTATGAAATAGACATGGAGGAATTGATGATTTGCCCGTCGTCTCAAAACGGGCAGAAGTGGAATAGGACCTGGAATCTTGTTTACTCTTTCCATGATGATAACAATACTCTTCATTTGTATGAAAGTTAACTGTTTTCTTAAGTACTTTCACATATATCATATCATTTGTTCTTTATAACACACAAGAAGATGAGCCAGGGATGATGATACCCATGTGACAAGTAAAGAAACTGGACTCAGAAATGTTAAGTGACACCCACAGTCATACAGCCATGAAGTGGCATAGCCAAAACTAGAACTCAGTTCTTCTCAGTTCAGTGCTCTGTTGTGCCATATTGTCAGGGCTATTCATTGCCTGAGGTCTTCATCCCAAACCCCTAAAATATGTCAGTGTATCCTGTTATCTTGTTTTATACCATGAGGTCTCTTATAGGACTTGTGAAGGTGTCTGTGACTGACCATTCTACCTCCTATTTCAGTGAACAGGTGTCGGCCCTCCCCCATGCCACGTGCCTTCCATGCTTCAGCTTTGGCAATGAAATCTTCAGATGAACAAAAGTATCAGCCCCCTCCCTCTTCCTCTCAGCAGCACTCTGAGTCACAAGGAACAGAAGAGCCCAATCCAGAGCCCTCGAAGTCACACCCCCGGTAAGCACCAGGAGGCCAGTCATCTGATTTCTAGTCTCCCCGAGCACTAGTATTTTTTATTGATGCCACTACTGAAAAAGTTATGGTTTTTCTGTGCAGTGGCCAAGGGACACATCTGGGTCAAGCAGACCCTTTTGTTTATTGAGTAACAACTTTGGTATATACTAGATGCCCTTGCTTTTTAGTAACAATAGTGGGAGAAGAGAATGCAGATCTTTTTAATCCTATTGGCATTAAACAGCTGTGACATTGGCACACAGGAAAATAATATTGATGTGCTTCTCAACCTTATAAGAACAGGTAGCACTTGGGACACAGTCCTGGCACTCAGCTTGTTTTCCTGAATTGGACTTCAGGTACACAGATCAGGGTGGTGAGGAGGATGAGGACTATGAAAGCGAGGAGCAGCTGCAGCATCGGATCCTGACTGCAGCTTTGGAGTTTGTGCCTGCTCATGGATGGACCCCAGAAGCCATTGCAGAAGGAGCTCAGGTATATATGTATATAGAGAATCTGTGGATAACTGAAAAGTTAGGATAGAGTCGAAACTGCTGGGCATTTTGGGGTTTCCTAGATCTCTTCTCCAAAAAGGAAAAAGTCAAAATAAAGTATTCCCTTTCTTCCTGTCTCCTTCCCTTCTCCCACATATATCCAGAGGTCCTTGTCCATCTGTCTTTATTGTGGTATAGTGTAATGAGCTCTGACCCTAGAGTCTAGAGTCCTGAGTTCAAATTTTGGTTTTAACACTTATCAGCTGTATGATCATGGGAAAGATTCTAAATGTCTGTGAGACTCATCTGTATATAATATGAATAACACTTCCACTACCTACCTCAGGGTTGTTATGAGTAAAGTGTTTGGTAAACCTCAAAACATTAGTGAAATGTGAGTTACCATCTTAGAGACTCCATCAGTCTCCCTCTTTCCTCTTTCACAGTCCCTGGGTCTCTCTAGTGCAGCAGCTGGCATGTTTGGAAATGATGGCAGTGAACTGATCCTGCATTTTGTGACACAGTGCAATGCTAAACTCAATCGGGTGATGGAAGAAGAACAAAAGCTCGTGCAATTGGGCCAGGCAGAGTGAGTATCCTGTAGTATCATCACTGAAGAGTGTAGGGACACATTTGCCAGGGCCCAGATCTCCCAGCCTGTCCCCAAGTACAAGGCTTTCAGCAGAACACGGAGAGAAAATAAGATCCTGTAGTCCAACTCTTTTAGACAAAAAATCCCCACTCACCAGCTGCTCTGATAGCCCAACTACAGATAGCTTTGGCCAGGTCAGAGTCACGGGCCAAAAAGAGCTACTTCCTAACCTAGGACTGAGGGTAGCTGCAAGTCATCTACTCTGACAAATAGACACGCTGTTTTCTTTTCCCTCTTCCAGGAAGAGGAAGACAGACCAGTTCCTGAGGGATGCAGTGGAAACCAGACTGAGAATGCTGATCCCATATATTGAACATTGGCCCCGGGTACAAAATTCATACGTAGTTCTCATATCATGATTAGTGACAATAATACCATTAATAATATTCAGCACCAACTCAGCCCTGAGTACTGTACCAAAGTTAACTCGTTAATCTTCACAACAAATGAAAAGCCTGGGAATATACAGTAAGTGTGATAGGACCAGGACTTAAACCCACATCCATTAAATAATTTAGAGTGACTGTTAATCCAGGCCATTTATCCCCTTTTTTGGAGCATGGGGAAGGGAGATGGAGATAGTCTGGCAACATGAATGGCCTTGGGCCCTGGCTCACAGTATAGACTGAGTCCTACCAGCCTAAGCAAACCTTAGGAGTCCATGAAGGGAGTGATAGAAAGCGAGTGGTTTTATTGCTGCATCCCTAACATAGAGCACTTTCTAATAACCACCTCATGTTCTCTGGGCCTAAGAGGAGGCTCTGGGTTGAGGAAAAGCATAAGCAAGGGCGTGGAAGTGAAAAAGTTTGGTATATTTTGGTAATCCAGTTTTGCTTAAGTATAGGGCATGCTAATAAAGGAATTGTGGGGGCTAATAATAAAAAGATAGATTGAGGCCATATTATGGATGATATTGAATGTCATCCTATAAGGAATTTAAGTTTAGGCTTTGGCCTTATAGATGATACCAAGCCCGTGAAGATTTTTTAACAGGAATGTTATGTAGTTAGAGCTATAATCTGAGGAAGATAAATCTGGCATAATTGTGCAGAAGATTTCTGAAGGTGGGAAGGCCAATTAGGAGGCTGTTGCAGTCAGTTTGGTGAAAGGTTATGGAGGCCTGAATTAGAGTGTCCACATTGAGAATGGAAAGAAGGGATGCCATCGATCACCTGAATAAAGTTACACTGCTGCCAAGGCTCAGCCTGGGTACTACACTCTGAATCAAGCACTGGTTTTCCTTGCTTATTGCCAAGGGAAGTTTCTCTAGGTTATCACAGAAATTGATGAACAACTTGGGAAGCAGAATTCAGATTTGTGGACTGTCAAGACCTCATGCTACTTGGCTAGAATTGGACTATCAGCCAATGAAGAAAAGTCTAAGTTCTTTCATTTTTTGTTTTTGTATGTTTTTATGTGAGCTGAAACTACAAAGCAAACTGTTTCCTATTAACTACACATGTTCATCAGTCCCATTATGGGACTATGCTGTATTTGTTTCTGTGTTGTTTCCTTTTTAGGCTCTGGGCATGCTTATGCTCCCTCATAATATCCCAGCCAGCCTAAACCTCCTCACCAGGATGGTAGATGACATGTGGCACTATGCCGGAGACCAGTCCACTGATGTAAGTGCCTCCTACAAGTGCTGCCCAGTTGTACTTATGCCTAGAACAATTGTGGGGTGATCTGCTATAGTCACCAAGAGACTTAGGGGTGTTAGAACACAGGAATCTGATGTTCTGATTTCAATCCCAATTAACTCCAAAACTTAAAATGAAGATTCTTTATAGAACTTTATGAAAGTTCTCTAATTACAAGCCTCCTTCATGGGGCCTACAGTAGTATCATCTCAGAAAAAAAGACAAATTGAAACAATAAAGAAAGGCAGTGGCATGTTCTTCAATGACAGTTCTCACAGAGCTAACTATAGGCTTTTACTTTTTGTTTAAAGTTCAGTGTCCTGACCACAAAACCAAAAGTTGGTAAAGCATTTTTTTCTTACCTGCAGTAATGACGCAAAGCACAAGAGATTGTTTTTATTTAGAACTGTTTTTTTATATCCATTTCCCAGCACCCTCTCAAGATTTAAATCCTGCAGCAGAATCTCTTGGTGTTTTGCTTCTTTTTTTTTTTTTTTAAACTCAGGCTGATTTCATTAACACCACTCTCAAAAAAGAATACCACTGAGACACCCATCTCTTTAAAAAGAAACTCCCTTCCCCCAATCCACTTCTTCCTCCACTGAGAGATCAATAAACTCATTTAAAGCAGCCACCAACAAAGAATCTGCCTTGTTAAAAAGCATCATCTTTTTGGCAGGAAATAAAAGAAGTAACGTATACCTTCATAAAAACAATAAGTGATGGTATTTTGTGGAATCTGGGTAGGGCAAGCAAAGAAAGATTCCCACCACAGTTGTAATAAACTGCTTTAATAAACTTCCTCCAAGTGGGAATACACCACCAACTGAGATGGTAGGAAAGTGAAATTGAAAAGCAAAGAAATTAAAGGAATAAAACACTAAGCAGCTGAGGTGGTGCTTTAAAGAGGGGTTTACCAGGACAGACTGTTCCCTTGCACAGTTATAAGTTGCTGAGGGCTTTTCCTAACTCTGGAGAACCACTACTTAGGCCAAGGGGAAGGGAAGCAACGGGGCAAAGGAAGACTTTGCCCTGTGTCACAGCTGGCTTTGGTCCAAGCTTGTTCTCTGCCAGGGTCCATGCCAAAGCTGATTCATTTTCTTGGCTTGTTTCTGATGCAGATTAACTGGTATACACGTCGGGCAGTATTGGCTGGCATCTACAACACTACGGAGCTAGTGATGATGCAGGACTCATCTCCTGACTTTGAAGACACTTGGCGCTTCCTTGAAAACAGGATCAATGATGCCATGAGCATGGGACACACAGCTAAACAGGTTATCTGAAGTTAACTTTGTTGGAACAGCATGGGAGCTATTCTACCATAATCCTCCCACTGGTGATATTCCAAAATTTGGTGAATAAAATATGTCACCTGCTACTCTCCATGAAGACATTCCCATCCCTCATGCTGAAAATGGGTGACACAATACATAGAGAATTAAAGAATCTAACCTCTTCTGCCCTACCACTGTACACTAGTAGCTATTTGCTACCATTGCTCCAGTGAATCATTCGATCTCTAGAAAGGCAGTTAAATCATCTTTCAGTATAGAGGTATCAAAAACTAGGCCCACAACACTCCCTAGTTTGACCCAAGCCAAATTCCCATATAATTGGGAAATATTTAACAAAATTAATATACAGTAAAACACAAATATTGTTAATTTGTGGTTTTCTAAGTTATTATGCAGCCCACAGAGAGCCATTTCTATTTGTGTTTGAGAACACTGTTCCAGTGCACAGACTCCTTCATCTGGGCTACATGTGCTTGTTTTTTAATACCTGCTTTATCTTTAATTACCTATTAGAGCACTTGAGAGCTTTCATTCTGTTTTTCCTAGGTCAAATCTACTGGGGAAGCACTTGTGCAGGGAATGATGGGAGCAGCCGTGACTGTGAGTATCACTGGAGATGATTTGAGTTTGCGTTAGCTTTAAATCTTACATGCTGTGTAATCCAAGTAATTTTAATTTTTGAAGTGAAAAGTTAAAAAGTAAAACAAACAAACAAAAACCACTAGTTTAACTTCATGTGCTCCCTAGTTGCAGTTATCCCGCCTCTTTCAGTCTTCCTGTGGTACTGGAGAAAATTTCAGAACCTGGAGTCAATGGTGTATTGTATAATAATTAGCATTTATATGAAGCTTTAAAGTTTACACAATGCTTTTTATACATTGTCTCATTCAGTATTACATCACATCACTGCTACCCCTCCAGCCTCTGTTATTCCCACTGACCACTGCCTGATCTATAGTCAGGATCAGGTTCTAACCTTTCCTTTCATCTGCTTTGATTTGTCTTCATTAGCTCAAGAACTTAACAGGCCTAAATCAGCATCGATGAGGAGAAAGGAGAGTGAGCCTGAGTGCCCAGAAGAAAATGAAAGTGTATCGACAGCTCTTTGAAAAACATAAAGTGCTGTACCAATGTAAGGTATTATTCAGAACAAATAAGAACTTGTCCCAAACATCACCCTATGCAATGAACCAGCTATGTGCAGGTTGCTTTGCTGACTATTCCTGACCAGAAACTGGGTCAGTTCTTCAGTTCCTAATGCCACATCAGACCTCTTGTCTTCAGCAACCTCACGCTTCTGTGTAGCAGTCGTGTTGTTGGAAAATCAACATTTCACCCAGCTAGCCAAACAAGGATGCCCACTGAGTACCTTACTCTCACCATCCCAACACACTGTGGGCCCAGGAATATATTGATCATGTCTTAACCCTCTCCTAAGAATTTCTTAAGGCTATAATTTGATAACTGAACTCCACCATGGTTTTTTGTTAGTACTATTACATAGCCATCCGTCCCAGTTGAGCTGTGTGAAAGGGCAGCATAGTTCATGGGTATCACAAATAATCTTCTTTGAAGTGGTCCCACACTGAAATCTTCTCTGCTTTTCTGGCTAAAGTCCTTCTAGGATGCCTGTGGAGAGGGGGAGGATGGGCATCATCTTTGATTCAGGTGTCTGCCAGATATTTGTGCCCATCTATGCCTTGCATATGGTCCTAAGCCCTGTTCCTTAGGGAACCTTATACCTACTCTGTAAAGGAATTGTTAGTGAATTTAGATTCTGTAAAGAAGATAATAAAAGTGTTTGTTTGGAAAAACTCCATCTGTTAGTGTGTCTTTAGAAGTGCAGAAGGGTAGGACTAAGAGGTGACTTGCCTCTTCTACTTGCTCTTGCTGATTGTTCCTCCACTGACTCCTTTCCTTCTGCCTACAAACACGTGGACATTTCCCTAAGTTTAAAAATAAAAAAATCTAAACCTTCTTTACTCATGCTATTCTCTCCAGTTACTGTTTTGTTTCTCCCCTTTCACCACCAGATTTCTTGAATGAGTAGTCTGCATTCACTGACTCTCCTTCCTTACCTCTCATTAACATTTAATAGTCTGATTTCCTTCACTATTGATAGTGTTCTTTAAGGTCAGAAAGAAGTATTCAGAGAAGAGTTGACAGGAAAGAGGACTGGACTCAGAAGATGTAAATTTTAACCCCAGCTTCTCCACTTATTGGCTATTCTTCATCTCTGAAATGGAAATGATAATTTCCTTTCCTTCTGCACGGGATTATTGAGGATCAAATGAGATTATTCATATAAAACACATTGTAACCATAAAATGTCAGCTCTTATTAATGATAATCACCATATTTAGTGGCCTTTTTCAGTGCTCATCCACTTTGATTTTCGGAGTATATGACTCTGGTGATAGGCAATTTCACTTTCACCTTGAAATTCCCACTATAGCTCCTCCCATAACATTCACTATCCTGGTTCCCCTTTCCTTACTAACTTACCTTTCTCCTTTTCCATTCTCTCTTCTTCCTCCTGTCTTCTACATGTAGACATTCACCAAGGTTCCTTTTTGGCTCAGTACTCTCTCGGCAAACTCATCCACTCCCACAGTTCCAACTACCGGTTGTGAGAATAACTCCCAAATTGTTAACTCCAGATTCATACTTTCAACTACCAGCTGGACAACTCTACCTGTGTGCCTTATGACACCTCCAACTCAAACTGTGACATTAGTCAAGTTACTTCTCTGCTCTGGGCCTGTTTTGTCTATAAAATGAGGGGGATGGAATACATGATCTCTGAGGTCCCTTTCAACACTAAAAGCTCAATGATCCTATGTGTAAAACCAAATTCTTCCTCTTTCCTCAGCCGTTCAGCATGGTATTTTGTATAGTGTTGAATTTGGAATCAGAAGGACCTGGGTCCCAATCCCACTTAGGTTTACTACATCTATGTCTATGGGTAAATCACTTAACCTCATTTGACTTGTTTTAACACCTGTAAAATGAAGGAATTGGACCAGATAAATGATCTCTAAAGTCCTTTTGAGCTCTAAATCTCTGATGCTCTTCTGGACTCTTTGTTATTGGCCACAGCATCTTTCTCTTCACTAAAGTTTAAAAGCAGATTAAGACTATGTTGTATGTATTTTTATATATCCCCACAGTATGGGCCTAAGCCCAGCCCAGAGCTTTGCACATACCATAAACAACAAATGTTTGTTGGTTGAAAAAATAAAATTAGGTTTGTGAAAAAGGAACCTATTGTGGGAAAAGGGTTAGTTCTGTCTAGTTGAGGGACATTTTAGAGCTCCCAGTGGCCTTGAGGGATTGACCAGGGGATGTAAATGGTTGGTACTGCAACTGCCAGTGGGTCCCCAACTGCTTCGTAGATCCTAATTCAAATATTAATCACCTCTGTGCAGAGCACTCTGAAAAAGATAACCATTTTGGTTAAAGATATGGTCCCTACCCACATAGAGGTCACAGCCTGGCAGGGCAATAAGATTCATACACATAAACACAAAATAATGAAGATTGAGTTCATTAAAAGTGCAAACTAGTGCCCAAAAAAAGGGTGCGAAGACTGAAGGAATCAGGGAACGCTTCAAAGAAGAGGGGACATTTGAATTGAGCTGTAGCACTACCTGGTCAAGGATCTCTGCAAGTGAATCCTAGAGAGAACTAGGAGGAAACTGTGAATGTAAGTTAAAGAGGCAGATATTAGCAGAGTATAAGGACAAATGAGAATTAGAGCTGTTTAGAAGTTGAAAGGGCTGCCATGGAAAATTATGAGTCCTTCATCACCAATGATTTTACAGAAGACGCTGGACGACAGCTTGGGGGCCAGGTAGGTATCAATCAAGAAGCATTTATTAAGCACCTAACTGCCCTCAGCTACACTCAGAGATGGTCTATTTCATATCCATGTTCATGAACTCTAAATAAAATGTCTTTATCTGATCATAATTTGTTATTATTCTATCTCTGCCTTGCAATTCCAAACCCAATTTTCTTTGTCCTCACAGTGACCTCAAATCCCTCTATCCTTTAGTTTTTTCCCAGGTCATGACCCCTGCACCTGCTAGTCTCTGTTGCCCTTGCCATCTTGACCCCTTGACAAACCAGTTCAACTCTATGCTGTCCTCTCAAGTCCCTTGGACCCTTATCCTCTCATCCATTTACCCTACCAAGCCTCACCCTTGAATTACACCCACCATCCACTGCCTTTGCTCCTATTCACATGGTGTTGAACAAGGTTGGAGAAAATCATTAAACTCTTCTGACTGGGTCCACTACAAGTTTATGTTACATAATCTCAACTGAGCCCTTACAGCAGCAAGGTAATCCTTTTACACCACCCACCATTCACTGTCTCACTCAATACAGTGGCTTTTCCAAGCACTTTTATCCTTCAAACCTCACCCTCTCGTTTGAGAACTTTGCTTTATAGATCACTGAAAAAATTGAAACCATTCTCAAAGAGCTCCCTCTTTTCTTTATGTCACATTCAAATGCCTTCTGTCACTATTGCCTTCATCCTTGTCACTTGAAGTGGTCCTCCTTGCCAAGGCAAACCCCGCACAGGCACCAGGAATCACATTCTATCCTACCTTTCCCAGCAAATTTCCCCCTCTAACATCCCTACTCTCACTAATATTCAGTTGCTCCCTTTCTACTGACTGCTTCCCTTTTGCCTAAAATGTGCCCATATCTCCTTCACTCTCAAAACCCTCACTTGATGAATCCATCCCCACTAGCTATCATCCTATATCTCTCCTCTTTGTCTAAATTTGAGAAGGCCATCTAAAATGTATGCTTCCTTTTCCTTTCTCACTCACCTCTCTACAACCTGGCTTCCTATCTCATCATTCAACTGAAAACTGCTCTCTTCAAAGTTACCAATGACCTCTTAAATGCCAAATCCAGTGGCCTTTTCTCAGTCCTTATCCTTCTTGATTTCTCTGCAGACTTTGACATTGTCAGTCACCCTCTTCTCCCTTTTTTTTTAGGCCTTTTCTCTCTAGGTTTTCATGACACCATCCTCTAGCTCTCCTACCCATCTGACCACTCCTCAGTCTTCTTTGCTGGATCTTCTTCAAGGTCACAACCACTAACTGGGCATTCCACAGGGCTCTCTTCTAGGCTCTCTTCCCCCTTATCATTTCACTTGGTGACCTCATTAGCTATCATAGTTTCAATAACCTCTATGCGACACCCAGATCTAATTGTCTAGCCCTAACCTCTCTTCTAATCTCCAAACTCATCTCCAACTGCCTATTAGATAGCTTGAACTAAATGTCCCATAGACATGAACTGGAAATGTCTAGTATCCAACTCATTATCTTCATTCTCTCATCCCCAAACTCTTTCTTCCTTGTAGTTGGGGACACAACCATCCAGTCACCCAGACTCAAAACCTAGGTCTCATCTTAAACTCCTCATTCTCACCCTTCCATATCCAATCAGCCATCAAATCCTGTTGTTTCTATCTTTGTATCATCTTTCGTATACCTTCTCTAACACTGCAGCCACCTCATGCAGGTCCTCATCACCTCACACCTGTACTATTACAATACTCTATAAAGTGAGCCCTGTGCCTCAAGTTTCTCTGCACTGCAATCCATTCTCCATTCAGCCATTATATTGACCTTCTTAAAACACTAAGTCTAACCGTATCATTCTACTATTTAACAAACTTCAGTGGTTCCTTATTGCCTCCAGGATCAAGTAAAATCTTTTGCTTGGACCCTTCCTACCTTTCTTACCTTCTTACATTTTATTCCCCTCCACATGCACTACAATCTAGTGACACTGGTCTCCTTGTTTTTCCTTAAACAAGACACTCTACCTCCTGATTCTGAGCATTTTCACTGGCTGTCCCCCATGGCTGGTACACTCTCCCTCCTCACCTCCACCTCCTAGCTTCTTTGACTTCCTTGAGGTCTCACCTAAACCTCACTTTTGCTCTTGCAAACTGAGTCTCAGAGAAGCGAAGTGTCCAAAGTCACAAAGCTAGTAAGTAGCAGTTAGAATTTAAACCCAAATGGTCTTGCCATTATACCATGTTGCTTTTTATATAACTTTGGTGACCTCATCACTTCTCAAAGATTCTAGTTATACCTATGAGTAGATCACTCCAAGGTCTAAATATCCAGCCTTAGTCTCTCTCTTGGCCTTCTTAGTCCGTCTTAATCTTAATGCCTTACCTCTGAGAATAGCCCCAGTATATCCTGCATCATTATCCCACTCAACACAATGGCTTTTCCAAGCATTTTTATCCTTCCTCTGACCCCTTTCATTTGAGAATTTTGCTTCACATTTCACTGAAAAAATTGAGACCATTCTCAAAGAGCTCCCCTTTCTCCTTTATTTCACATCGTTCAAATGTCTTCTGCCACTATCTTCTCCTTCACCCCTGTTTCACAAGAAGTGGTCCTTCTTGCCAAGGCAGACCTCACCACATATACAAGTGATTGCATTCTATCCCATGCTATCCTTCCCCTTCCCCTCCCCCACCCAGTTAGACGGAACTCTGAGAGGAAGGACTGTTTTCTGCCCTTCTTTCTTTTCCTAGCACTTACTATAGTGCCTGGTACCTAGTAAGTACTTAAATGCTAGTTGACTGATGTGCCAGGCACTGTGCTCAGCAATAGAAATATAAAGGTGAAAGTTTTTGTCTTCAAGGAGTTTATAATCTATTAGGGGAGACGTATACACATAAGGGAGGCAGCATGAATGCAGTGCAAAGAGTGCTGGATTTGTAGTTTAAAAGACCTGGGTTCAAATCCTGACTGTCACTTACTACCTGTGTGATCTTCAGGGTTAGGGCCCTCATGAAGGTAGCATTTGACCTTTGAAGGAAGCTAGAGATTCTAAGAGGTAGAGGTGGTAAGTTCCAGGCATTCCAGACCTGGAACTCCTGGAAAAAGGCAAAGAGAAAGAAGTGGGAGTGTTAAATATGAAGGATTCCAAGGTGAGTCTAACTGGATCATTGAAAGTAAGCATGAAGAAGAATAATATATAATAAGCTTATAAAGGTAGTTTGAAACTTGGTTGTAAAAGGCTTTAAATAATAACAGCTGGAACCTGAGGAAGTAGGATTCCTGCTCTTCCCCACCCCTGAGATCTCCAAGTACAGAAGTCCTAGGATTCTGAGTTTGTATTTTTATCCTAGATGAAATAGGGGGCCACCAGAGTTTATTAAGCAGGAAAGGGATTTGGTCGTATTTATGCTTTAGGATTGTTGTTGTTCACCCTTCGTTCTCAAAGAGGACCAATAACATCAAGAGATGATGTCTTGACTTGCTAGTGAATTGGATTTAAGTGAAGCAGAGCTGTGCAAAGGCATCAGCTTCACTCTCCTCCAGAGTCATTTGGAATCCAACGGCAAGACACAGATCAGAACTACTAGGAATGGCCCCAGATGCAGTGGGAGACCTTGGCCTTTTTAAGCTAAGGTCTTTCCCATGTCTCAGTTTGTCTGAAGCAACACCCATTCAGTGATTAAAGGCAAGGTGGTAGTAGTCGTAGTAGGAGTAGGAGTAGGAGTAGTAGTAGTAGTAGTAGTAGTAGTAGTAGTAGTAGTAGTAGTAG